AATGTATTTTGCTAGACAGATAGCACTACTTTGTATTTTTATGACCCTTTATTTTCCTCTTCAGGGGTTGAATTTCTAAAATTCCTTTTTTAGAGAACTCCTACTCATAGATATGTCAGAGTTCAGCCCATTTATAAATTTTTATATATTATGTATAAAAATATAGGTATACATAGATATAATTTAGATGATATATCTGTTATTATTTATCATTTTAAAAACCATTTATAATTATACTTTTAGGTCTGGTATTGGTACTATATTTGCTCTGCCGTGGTTGATATCATGGTTTAGCCACAGCTTAGATCAACACTCGAAAGTAGTAAGATTATTCGATTACTTCCTRGCATCACCAAAAGAAATCATCTTGTATGTTATAGCGCAGTTAATAAGTTCCAGGCGTGATGAAGTCTTAAATACTGAGTGTGACATGGCTTGTGTTCACATGGTGTTATCAAAGGTATTAAATAAAAGACTTTTTTCATGCACTTGCATAATTATAACACATTTATTTTTGTACAACAGATTCCAGAAAGCCTAAATTTTGAATTAATATTGGATAAAGCTACACAAATGTACAAAGAATTTGATATTTCAAACATAAAAGAAGAAGTTGACAATAGAGTAATTTTAGAGTAAGAAAATAGTTTTATAACTCTTAATAAATTTGTATGCATATCAAAAAGTTATCATAATTATTTCAGAGCTAAGTTACTAAATGATCAACGAAAAGAAAATGCAATGCGGAAAAAAGACAAGAAATTTGCAAATCAAGAACAGCCAGTTTTTAACAAAGCTTTCCGATACGTACCCATATGGGTTAGACCTAGAATGAGATTTGGCTTGTTGTTCTTCGGATTTAGTTTAGCTGCCGGACTTTGGGCGGTTTTGAAATCCAACAACAATTAAAAATGAAAAATTGCTTCATATATTCCAATTATTATTATTTGTGCTATACACAGGGGATCAAATTGACTGATATCTTACAATACATTTAAGGATATGTATTAAATCTTTTTTACTTCTTAATATTKCAAGAATCAATTATTTACATTTTTTTTCTTATCCTTAACTATTTAGTTCACCTTGTTTAATTTAGCCAAATAATTCTATTATTTAAATATTACAACTGTTTTGTACTACTCTTTAGATGTAAAATTTAACTGTGAATACTTTGATTCTATTGTTGATTTTTTTTATATATATATATTTTATGAATCAAATTATAATTGTTAATTAATGTTAAAACCTTTTTAAAATATTACCCGCATCATAAATAGTTTTTATATGAGTCAACTAAATATATTTATTGGTGTCTCCATTTATTTTTTAAATTTGAATTAGTTTATTTTCTTCTTAAAATATTTCAACAACAATAATGTTCTAACCTAACATAAATAAATTAAACACAATKTCGCCTAAAAAATAAAATAAAAAACTTAGTTTTTCCTAAAATATTTTCAGGCCTGAAGAATAAAAATGGGATAATGTTTACACAATATGATCAAATTAACATTTCAACGTAGGTACCTTTATACAAATTAGAATGTTATAATCATCTAAAGGAAATAGATTAAAACATATTTAAAAACTATGAAAATATATTATATCCTATTAATTAATTTAAAAAAATAACTGTTCAACAACTGAAACTAATTGACTAAAAGACAAATATTTAAATGTCATAATTAACATTGACCCAAAAAATATTAATAAACATATCTGCACTTATGTATACTAATATTACAATTCAAATGTTTTATTAATAATAGTAGAACACAAAGCTATTGAAAAAAAAAAATGGAATTATTTAATATTTTAGGCATAGCTTTTTCTTTAATGATTAGAACACATTAAAAATGAGGACAGGGTTGTTATAATAGAGGCACCTAAACCAAATAAATAGAGTWAGGAAAAATTAAATTAGTAGTTWAACTAAATCATAATACATAATTTAATCTTTATTAATGTGTATGTATCAAAATACTGAACTGCAAAATATTACCCATAAACCAGGGGTCTTCTACCTTTTTATGCAGCGGACCACATACTATTTATTTTTATTTTTTTTTGAGCCGGATTCGTGGTGTATTTTAAAAGTGTATTTTATGTAAAAATTTAGTTTTATTATCACAATTTTTAAAATTAGTTAGGTACATTTAAAATTACAAATTATTATTATTATTAAAACATGTATAGATAAACATTTTTTWTAATTACAAATTTCTTATATCACATATTTCCGATTGCGATAGCTTAACAGTTAAGCCTTAACTGTTATAATTTTATTGAACTAGAAAATGTACATGCTAAACTTAAAATGTGATCCCGGGCCGCAGGTTGAAGACCCCTGCAGTAAACGATTTCCACATAAAATTAACTTGATAATCAATTTTAAAGACAAATGTTTGAAATTAAATAATAATTTCTTAATACTTATGGATAAAATATGGTATATAATAATGATATAACATAATATGTTATATTTAAGTATATTATATAATATACCACAAAATCAATACAAATAAAATAGGAATTGACTATACTATAACAAACATATATTATAGAAAAATTGTAAATATACCATCTGAAAGTAAAATAAATAATAGAAGCTTAAACACAAATTTCAAAAAACACAGATTATATTTTTAAATTACAACAATGTAACCAAAAAAAAAAAAAAAATGTTTCTTCTCCCAGCATTAACTAATCACGTGGAACCTTGTTTTTGATTTTCAATCCTTTAACTATAAAAGTTAAATGTTTTATGAATTTTTAACAACTTAAGAATTAGTAAATTTTCAATTAAATACATTTTGTCAAAACTTGAACTTTAAACAGTTATAAACTTAGTTTCCAACTGCTCTGTACTAATAGGGAACCGTGTAGTCAACTTTCAAGTTCTTTAACCCAACCCAACAAATAACATTTTATTGWCATTTTTAGAATAKAAAGCCCAAAACACAAAACATTTTATATGTCTGTTAATAACTTAAAAAAATTTGAAACGCTTTGAAAATGTTATCAAGTATAAGAATTGATAAAATAAGAATGGTGTAAATTTCAAGTTTCTACAGCTATTCATTTTTGAATAACAACAAAATAGAAATATTGGTATCATAGAAATATAATGAATATCCAATATAATTCATATTGACACTCACAAAAATTTAATTTGTCTTTCCAGGAGATATTTTTTATTTGATAAAAGTAGACAAACTCATGAAGTCATGAATAACCTTGTATTGAATTTTTAAATATAAGATTGTAAAATATAATTTTTTATTAATTAAAAAAAAAAAACTAAAATTTAATTAAATTCATTAAGTAAATTTTTGTTGTTTTTACGTATTTTGTCAAATTTTTAACTTTCAATGCTTTAAAAAAAAATTGTGACTATTTTTTATATTTTTAACTACCACTGTGACAATGCATTAGGAGCCTATTAAATTTTGAAGTTKTTGTACCCAACGAATACAATTTTATTATCATTTATAAAAGAAAAAAAACTAAAAATATTGAACGTTTCAGATGTAGGTATATAATAAATAACTTAAAAAGATTTGAAATATTTTGAATGTTTTATCAAGTATGGAAAATGCCAGTAATAACCTAACCTAACATTCCGTTAAAAGTTCATGYAACTATGGTTATTCGTTTTAGAGCTACACCAATATCTAAAATTGATTTTGCGTAAAAATTCCCGTTTTTCCTTAATTTTTTTTTTTGTTTTTCCGGTACTTTTGAAAACTACTTAAMATTTTTAATTTATACTTCCCCAATGCACCAATTAGATTCACTTTTCAACCGGAATAGTTACTGAAGTTTAAAATCGATTATTTCAACAACTAATCGTGTACACACTCAAAAAAATATAAAATATATAAAAACACACATCATTCTAAAATCCATACATTCATTGCTCCGCTCAGAATCTGAAACAATAATTAATACACCATTTTTACTTCGATAAAACGAAATTGGTTGAATAAAATATTCTTAATGTAAGACAGACAAAATATGTTTGAACATCATAATTACAATAAAATAATATTTACTTTATGTCTGACTATACTTAAAAATAAAATAAAATAAATTTAACACGACTGAAATAGTGAAATCAATATAAGTATAAATTAATTTTTAATAGGATTTACCTTGATTAAATATTTTCCAACAAATTCTAAGGTCGAAAACGATGGTTGCAATTAGGTAGTTGAACCTAAAAGATGCAATATTGAATATATTTAAAAGGATATTTCACCACAATAGTATTTCCTAATTTTTATGAAATGATACAACTTGCTTTAACATTACTTCTTAGTCTGCTACGTGYGAAAGTTTTGTTGGTATGAGGAAAATAAAAATATGACTGGGAACATCTATACAAAAAAAAGTGAACTTTCAATATTATATATTGAAAAAGATAAGACTAAAGCTTTAAGTAATGAAGCTATTTCAAATAATTTGAACAACAAATTTAATAGAATAGTAAAATTAAGTTAATATGGTAATTGTATATTATTAAATATTAATTATTCTTTTTCATTATGTTTGTAAGTATTTAAGTTATTATGATAACGAGAACCTTCCACAATTTTTACCAGTGATTTAATGTAATAATTACTTGTTAGGGGGGGGGGACGCCCTTTCGGGTCTATTTATTGGTATCAAATATTTGAGCTCCCCTGAATATTTCATAGGATCTCTATCTATGCGTATAACATGTATAGTACCTATACATAATAATAATATAGAGTATATTATAATACATCTTAAAATAATTATTATCTAACCTAACCTRACCTATACGCGTCTGAACTTCTGGTGGTGGTACTAGTATGGCATGTAAATGGAAAAATGGAATGAACATGCGTTCGCTTGCACGTGATAAATAAGAGTGTATATAGGCATAGGCAAGTAGCAAGGCATATAAAGAGATAGAATTTGAATGTGTATTGGCTTATGTTATCGATGTGCATTTTATCGTTCGATAATAAAATAGGAGTATTGTTGTACGTGCGATGCATGAGATTATTTTTATCAATGAATTTMTCGGAACAATAAAATTGTTATCTATACGACGGACAAAAAGGTTAGGTTTCAGTTAGCTGGAAACTCGTGATCCATTCGATTTCACTTAAAATATAATATACACAGCACTACTGTTGCACAATACGTCAGCTTTGTAACTACAGATATACTGATATAAGCATGTCGGTGACGCGAAGRCACAAAATTTCACCTTTCCAAAAAGTGCCCAACGCGCCTAAAGAAGTTATCACTTCAAAAACCATCAAATGTATGAATATAACAAACTTCAGATGGCAGTCAGCGTGAAGGATCAACATTTTTTTTTTGAAAAATTGAAAAATTGAGTACCTAAATAAAATAAATATTAATTTAAGACTAAAAATAAATAATCCCCGTTTAACTTTACTAAACAAGAGAAATAAAAAAAAAGAGGAAAAATTAAATTCTGAACACAAAAATCAGAGAAAGTTTGGAGAAAATTAAAAATTAATCTTATTCCAAAATACTTAATGTAGCACATAATATAGTAGTATTAAATTGTATGTAGGTATTTAATTATTGTCGTGCTCTCAGATAAGTATTAAAGCCCCTTATACCATTGGAATAACATAATTTAATTTATAAAAACTAGAGGTTAAACTACATCGCCTCATAACTTATGTATTATTACGTGAATTTCAACACAAGTTATTGCCAACAATTATTAAATCTAGACACCGGGCACTTGGAATTTGTGACGTTTCAGATGTTTTAGGAACTTAGTTTCAATTTCAATAATGGGGTTTTTAAAATCCTACATATACCTCCTATATAAACGTGTATATTTAGAAAAATTATAGATTAAGGTTTTTATGCAAAACAATGCGTTATTATACTTCCTATAGTGGATACACAATACACTATTGTTAGAAGGTCTCGTGTATTAAATGTTTATAAATCATGATTCACGTAAGTATATGATTATGTAATTAAAAAACGCGTTGAAGCCGTGTCTTGGATAAGTTCTAGGTGCGTGGTCAGATGAAAAATTGCTTTAAATAATCACGCACGATGAATCTGTGCACGAACGTGGCGCCGTTGGCTTCCATTGGCAACGCGCACCACGCGAAAAACACAATCTTGGCGAGGAAGTAAAACGGTATGATCTGCAACACGTCACCGCACAGTTGCTGCACGATGAGCACGGCCGCAAACGTTATCCAGTACGTGAGCCACCGGGTGGCCGGCGAAACGGGTGCACCACGTCCGTGCTGTTCGGCGGGCACCGGTGGAGATGGTGTCTCACCACGAATGTCGTCCCGCATCATGAGTTCGATGGTGGCGTACATGGGATACGCGAACCCCAGCAGGTTGCTGACCAGCATAACCATTCGGCCTGATGCGATGACGAACGCTAAAGCGGTCAACATGCAGCCCAAGAACAGTTTCACATGGCTGATACCGGTCCGACCCTCGAGCCACACGAATGGCGCCGTCCACGATCGGGTCCTGTCCTGCAACGCCGAGTCGATCGTGTTATAGACGTTTATGAGTGCCATGCTATGTCCCTCCTCTCTTGAAACCTTTGTTGACGGCTGTAAATGGAAAACATTTCATCATTATGTGTAGGTATATTACTATTATTATTATTAAACAGACAATGACTTATGTAGTTATGTCACATGGAAGGTGTGTGTGTGTGTGTGTTTACTTACCACCCTAACTGTGTGTACCCTCAATACAGTTATTAAGCCGAAGAGGCAATTTTCTCGATAACGATATTGTAATATAAATTATCGTTGATAGTTAAATTGTATTTATAATAATATTAAACGTGATCGTTGGCAAGTGTAGATCGTATACAGTTTCCATGACAAAATTACTACGACGACGAAAAAGAAAGCCGCCAAATATATGATTTAATCATCATCAATAGATGTAATTTACATCTGGGCATCTGGCTGAACTGGTTATCAGACCTTGGACAAAAGAGTATAGATGTATATTATATAGGTACTGGTAAATTTAGTGTTTTTATTTTTGTTTTATTTATTTACATTTTTTGTCWGTTTTATATTTAGTTTGACTATTTCAAGGAATAGTTTTTTGTTTTTGTGAATGTCTAGCTATAATGTGGCATTAGTCATTAATTCTTTAGCATTCGTTGTTAAAAATCATTTTCAATTTTGCTCAAATATTCAAAAGCTATTAACCTCATTTATCTCCGAATTTTCAAATATCATGAAAAACTTCTCATTTCCCTTCTTACCACACTAGTAAGTAAATCCAAATTATAAATATYTTAACTCATTGAAATTACGCTATTCCACATTGTTTCCTATAACTATTATCAAGTGCGTTATCTAACTTTTTATACTTTGTACGTTCTTATATTTTAATATTTAGTATATTTATATTCTATATGTATATATGGAATTTATCTCATTTTTTCTTAAACTATTAATTGTATATAATACTAGCTGATCACTGTGCACTTAGTTGCCCGTTAAAAATACCGACTCTATATGATTCAACATTTTTAGTTAATTCATCTTTTATATTCGACTTATCACGATYAAAATTTCCCGTGGATTTACTCTATCTTAATCTCTATACAAATTTTTTAACATAGTCATTTAAAATACAGGACTAAAAGTATATTATATTATTTATTTTTTATTACAATCATAATATTTTCTTGCATTTTTAGCCTTGTTAAGGTGAAACAGATTATAAATTTGTACCTAATAACAAATTGCTAATTTCTTATTCTTCCATACTAAAGTACTAAATTATAACCTGCAATARCAACTATATAATACACATTACACAAGAATATATTTAATAGTATTATTATTTCTATAAAAAATCTCAAATTTTCAATAAAAAAATAGATTCATGGGATTGTTTAGCTTTCTGAAACTAAGACATTTTTAAATCAGTTAAATAGTTCCCAGGCACGAATCTAGAACATATTTACGGGGGGCATCTTAAATAAAATTTCAGCCTAAGTCTGATAAAAACGTTGTACATACCTACCATGTAAGCTAATAAGCAAATATTATTTAAACCCAGTTTATCAGTACAATAAAATATATAAAATAATTTATGTTGATTATCGACAGTTACAGCGGCTGTGAGCGTATTGTATCGTACCTATATATCAACTAACAAATTATCATCACTCAATAAATATCGTCAATAATAAAATAGATAGGTACTACAAACATTTAGGCATTTTATTGCATAAAACAAGCTTAAATATTCAATTAGATTAGATTAGCTTTTTGACGGCGRCCGATAAAAACGGACACGTCCGAAACGCTATCGGCTGCCGAAAATAGATATAATAGAAAATCCACCAGTCTACGATGGGTGGCATGGCCCATTGCCCCCGCGCCTGATAGTTCCAGAGATTCAACCGATGAAATGAACAATTTTTCTTCTTTATATTATATTTCTAAATTCCTTAGTACGCCACTACATTTTACAGTTTAAGGACCTCTGTACAAAATTTCAAGTCTTTAGATAGTCTATAGTCTAGATCCAGCRGTTTGGTATGTATTTTCACGATTTTCTATTGAATATCTAGATCCCGGCTTTGCCCTTGTGCAGTTTGGTTTTGTGGCAATATAGTTTATACGCTATATATGTGTGTCCCAGTTTAGTGTACCTCAGTGCACATATAAATCAGCGTCAGTGTTTCTAGATTTAGTAGATTTGTGAAATAATTAGATCTAGATATGCAATTCAAAGTTACGGAATGGAATTAGCACTTCTTATAATTTTTGACATCGCTTAAACTACTTTACTCCTTAAAATTTCTCAAATTCAATTCAGTAGTTTTTGAGTAGGTATWTAAGCTACATACATACATTTGGTTTTAAGATATTTTAGTTTCTTTATTCTAAGTCATAAGCGTGACAATTTGATGCATGCTTGTACCTGATCTACCCGGGTAACCGATGGCATCCATTTAGAAACCAGAAAAGTTTCAATTTGTAACGTCATAATTTTTAACTGTCATAATTTTTTTATCTGTAGGTATAATATTGTTCACAATATTTTGTAGCACTATATTATTATAATTTATCTATGTCAACCTTTTCTAAAGTGTGCCTTTACGTGTTCAACGTGATTTTTGTAGAATTGTATAGGTTTTTAAAATAAACTTGAAAACCTGACGATGGCCAGAYAAAAACGATTATACGATATGTAAATAAAAATGAATAAATTATATATATATTTTTTTTTTTGGCTTCGGCCTTTATGACCATGCYGCTAAATACAAATCTTGCCATCTGCCTCTGTCCTCCACAGCTTCTCTCCATCTGATTTCTGGATCTAACGTTTGTAAGTCCTTTTTTACATAGTCTTCCCACCTCAACCTGGATMTTCCTAAAGGTCTTTTACGTATTGGATCTTCCTCTATTACCTGTMTAACTAAAGATCCTTGCTTACGCCAGATATGGCTCCCCCCACATGAGTCTTCTTTTTGTGATCTCCTTAACTATGTCAGATMTCTGAAACTGTCTTTTGAGTTCATAATTCTGTAATTTTGAAAATAAATTAATAAATAATACATATAAACATATATAACATATTTCCATATTATCCATAACGGTTCTTCTGGTTTTATTTCTTTTTTCTCTTTCTTATGATTAGTCATCTTATGGCATGGAAAGGGCTCAAAAAGGGCACCGTAATCCAATTAATTTTGGGAACCACTGACTTATATAATATGGAATTAATCTCTAAATATTAGTTGATATCATATATTTGTTTAAAATTCAAGTCTTAATGCATCAATAAATAATAATAATAAATACTAGGTGATCAGTTCAAGATTCTATACTCATTATTTTGATGTCACTTTTTTGAAAATATTAGGTATGTTTTACTTAATATTTTAATATTCATTTACATTTCACTAATATACTATCCAGGAGTATGAAATAAAAATGTATTTTGTCACTGAAAAAAACTTTTAAAAATAATGAATAGGTATAGGCACTTAAGTGAATCACATTGCATAACATTATTACATCTAGAAAAGTAATATTTTTTGTCAAATCGTTTCCACATATTTTGTTGTTATGGTATTTTAATATTCAGTTGTTCATTCTACCCATTATATTGTTACATTACTTCTCAAGGTTATAGGTACATGTGTAAAATTTCAATGCCGATGTATCTAATGATTATAGAGTAAAACGAGATTTGTTGGAATGCAACTAATTATTCGGTCATTTAATTGAATTTTGTTCTGAAAATATTCATTTTTAAATAAATTTTGTCTGTTTCAGGGCCTTCGGAGTCTGGTCTATATCACCAGAATTTAGGAATAAATTACTTTGATTGTGCTTTTAATTACTTTTAACAATTACCTAAATGAGTTTTAATTAGATATCATGACCGTGTCATGTTTAAAAAAAATGTCCAGTGACAAAAATGCAATTTAATGAGTATAATATAATATATTTTGTTCTGATCATTTTAAAATGTACAAAAAATGTTCATAAAAAAACTTGAAAATAGTCATGTCAATAAAATCCTCCAAGCATATTATAATATTATTTATATTCTTGCCTTTAAATTGTAAAATAAGTAAATTATCCACTATAATTTTAGAAATTAAAGATATTAATGTATTAGCATAACGTAAAATTAGCCATATTCTACTGATAATGTCTTCAAATAACAATGAAATAAAAAACATACTTAAATTTGTAACATTAAAATAATATTATATKTCTATTTTTAAAGTTCTATGCTCTTTTTGATGGTAGGGTTTAAAATTTTAAAAACTAGGTATAATTTCTTTATAATAAACACTATATTATAATTGATAGCTGATCCCGTTCAATAAACATATTTGGAAGCCCGCCTAATATATTATATTGATCCTTAGTGAATTTAAGCAATGTTTTAAAAATATTTCTTGTGATGTATCTTCCACAGGTGCAGTGTATTGAGTTCAGGTCCATAGACGTGATAGGGGGCATGCAGGGTATGCATTTTTATGAGGGGTGAAAATTGATTATAGAAAATTGAAACATCTAGTTATCAGTTATTAACTACCAAGTATTTGCGAAGTACATACTTTTCGTATTTTTTCATGGTATTTTTTCATGGTATTTGTTACAATATTTTTTTAAATAAATAGTAGATATTTCAATATTTGAGTATAGAATATACTGTATTATATATATCATCAAAATTTTACAAGCTTAAAATAACTTTCATGGGCGCCATTGTCAACCTATCTGCATACTCTGAAAAAAAGGCCTGCGCACGCCTTATTTTCAAGTCCGGTGTAGTAATTAATATCTTTGAAGCTGTGAAGAAATTAGAAAAAATATTCTATCTGTCAAAGTCAGTGAAACATTTTATTCATTCTTCACATTTATTGTTCAATACGTTTGTAAGATTTTAGGACTGATTGCGGATACGGGATAAGTAACATGTAAGAAGCTGATATTGTCACTTTACATACCTTTAACCACAGTTGAAGCTGGTTTGGCGTTAAATTTCTGGGAGTGAAAAATCTTACAGCGAAGTCAGCTCGTCTCTTACGTTCACACGCTTAAGATAGCAAATACCTACTATAAGGTTATAGTTATTTATAATATAAATATTTCGATACTACATATTAACCTGTTGAACTGGATGATGTTTAGCATTTACTCAATAACCCAATAATAAATTCAATAACACATTTCCAATGGATTAGTGTAAAAAATATATATAATAAAATACAATTTGGTAGATGTACTGTTTATTATTTTGAATTGAGTTAACTATTTAGCTGCTTAAGATTCTGAATACATGAATAGTTATAACTGATTGTTCGAAGTATGTCACCTATTGTTGAAATCAGATTTGGAGAATTTTAATTACATTTTTGTCCTTGATTCAMAACGGCGATAATTGCTACTTGTTTAATTTATACAAAACATATAGGTAACCTGTGTAATGACATTTTAAAATGCATAAAAATTAACATTTTTCTAAAAAAAGAATTTGCATTAATTAAATGTAAGCTAGGTTAATATGTGTTTAATTCAAATTAAATTGGCAATGATCGCAATGTTTACCAAGTATACAGATATTAGGTATAGTTAGTTATCAGATTAGAACATAATAACAAAAGTTTGATAAATTTTGAATTATTTTATTTGAGTGGGAGCAGGGTAATTTTATTTTAAATGTAAGTTCAATTTTAAAATAATGTGAAAAATGACTATAATATTACACTTAATATCAATACAGGTAGGTACTAGGTAGGTACATATGTATAATGTATAAATAATAATATTGTTTCCGTTCTATAATATATTTATTATTTATACGTATAAATACCTATAACCTTTTTGTCCTAAAGTTCTTACCTTATCCAATGTGTCATTTGAATGCTTAGCAGTTTCATTTAAATCAAATAATTTTAAAATWATTATTGTTACTATTTTTATCTCTCCAAGTAGTTATGTTGATGTATATAAATGCCAATGCGCCGAGATAGAGGACTTAAGGGTAATTTTCTCTGATTATACTTTTATAATACCTAGTCGGTGATTTTAATTTACCTGGGTAAAATAGTCTAATCAAAATTATGCTATATTATCTGGTCATTCTTCTGATAAATCAAAGGTTCTTGCTGAAACAATTGCATATACTAGTATGAGCAGTTTTTTCAACACAATTT